TGAGACTAAATTTGGCCAAGGAAAATCGCCGCTCGGGGAACACACAGGCTACCATATCATCTTATGCCAACACCACAAGGCCAGATGGTCATTGCTGACACAACGAATCAGCGCACAAAGGCATTTATCGTCAGATTTTTTCTGAACGTTTAAATTTTACGGCAGTACCTTGTGCACACACAAACTGTTTCTGCTACTGTTCTGTGAGTATGTCTCTGATGATGAATCCGCGACAGATTTCGAAACGTCAGGCAAATAAACGTATTGTCCCAGCGATCGAGTCGTCTTCTACTTCTCAATAGACAACTTTTTTGTGTACAATTTCCAGTACGGTACCCTATGTCGTCTTCAGGCAAACGGGGGATGTACAGACTGCATTTAAGTTTTAAAAATTTCCAATGCAAAATTATTTTATTGGCTAAAATGTAAGCCAGTCTGTATGTATTTTATTTGCATAGTACATACTACTGACTGTCTGTTGTCAGCTTGCGAATATTACGCGGTTGTTATAAGTCACCGAAATATTTCCACTCAACTTTCCAACAGAACCTGAGAATAGTTGTTCCGAAACATCTACTTCAACGCATCGTCGAACGTCTCAGGAGAAGTCTAACTTTGTGACCTGTTCAATTAGGTTTTCTCGTTAAATGGGACGACGAAATTTTACAAACTTCCATTTCTGCCCAATCATAATGCGTTTTCTCTATAACTACAAGGACAGAAAAGAGACTCTGTTCGCATTCCGAGCCAATAATGCTTTTATAGACTCACCACATTTTAATTATTTTTTTTATTTTTCAGTTGCCGGAACCGTTGCTTAGCTACAGTCTTTATGACAAGTTTGTCGAATTAGGAAAGGTATGTCCACCCCCTGCTGCAGTCTTGTCCTTTTTTCCCTACAGTTGGAATGCAGCAGTCAGCTTTCTGTACCCTATTTGCCTCTTTCCCGCCCTTAGGCGCTTGACACCACAGATCAGAAAATTCTGGATGAGAAAGTGAAAATGCTGCATGCACTGTTTGCCCAACTGACTCCATCCAATCGGCGTGTGGCTGGCCTCCTCTTTCACCACCTTAAACGGTAAACCCCTTGCTGCGAAGGCGACATCCTGCTAACCTGTTTTTTCTTTTCGATACAGTACTATCAATTTTACAACCATTTTTTTTCTCGCCCCATTTTTAGCGTATCGGGATTTCAGGCGGAAAACCAAATGGGAGCGGCGAATTTGGCCACAATGTTTGGTCCGACGCTACTTCGGCAAAGACCAAAGTAATTCATTTCCCTCTCCCCCCCCCACTTCTCCCCTTGGCTCCCCATG